ATGGGACTGTCTCACAGCTGGACGTAGGCACAGCATAGCGCAGTGTGATAGAAATTCTGCCCCCCCGTGCAGTCAGCAGAACAGCCCCTGTGTCCTAGGGCAGGACGCAGCTGCAGCCCTCGCGTCCCCTGGAGGCTGTGCCTGTGCTCAGCTGACATGCCCTGCAGTGGGAACCCAAGGATCCCAACATCCTGGCCAAGGAAGGACGTGGGTGATTGCGAGGTGATGCAGCTGCACAGTGCCCTACACGGAGTCAAATACAGTGAGCCTCTCATAAGCCTTTTCCACTTGACCGACCAGAGCATGCAAACAGTTGATGTTCCAAAATATTAGTTTTGTCACAAAACTCATGAAAATGAGAAGAACTTGTTTTGTTTCCTTATCTATTATTTGTCTGGACACAAGCCTATATTTTCCCATTCGCTTGTTCTGCTCCCTTATAATCATGATAATCTTTGAAGCTGACTGAACTGGATTGCTTGTGCCTACGCATGGGAAGCCCTACAGATTTTTGCCTGGGTTTGAATTTGAAGGGATAAGAAATTCATGGGAAAAAAAAATAATCTTGTGGTTTAAGATCATTGATGTTTCAGGGCACGTGATTCACTGGCAATCCCTATTTTCTGCTAGGTTCTGTGGATTTAACCGTGAGTTTATAGGATGTGGCTGTGTCTCAAGAACAGCGTCTGCAAGAGATGGAAATCCAATCTGGAAATGGCCTGCTTAAAAATATCCTTGCCAATCTAGACTTCAGTAACTATGCTTCTTAGTTCAATTACTGCTGATGATATTATGAGATGGTGCTAGTAGAAAACTTGCAATTTGTGAGGGCAGCAGTGCTGTTAGGAGGAAGAGAGCCACAATGGGCACCGCAATTCAGAATTTTTAGTGTTGTTTCAGCAGTAGACCACCTGCCGCAAAGCTTCCCTTTTAGTCCATGTAGATGTTGTATATTGGTGGGGGAGAACTTGTTTTCCTACAGAAAACATTCAAAATGAATGGAACGTCTTCACTAACTCTTACTAGAGCAGTGAGCAAGATGTTTCTTCACGGTCATCTCCTAACTGCTCCTGTACTCTTATCTGCCCCCACAGCTGTAAAATAACCTTTCCGATGTTTCACTTGAGCTAATCTACAGCGTACACACACCAAGAGATGAGGTGCAGTGCTGTTGCCGCCTACCAGACCTGAACAGATTGCGTTTTGGCACATTTCGTCGGGGCTGATGAGCCCCCCGAGACGTGCTGAGCAGCAGCCCTGATAGCGAATTGATCCGGAATGGCAGCATGCCCTCCTGTGCTCAGCTCTTGGCAGGCTTTTGCTGGGCTTGCTGGTCACCGCGATGGATGCAGTCTCTCTTTGAAAGGGGCAAAAAGTAAAGATTTTTATTTCTAAAAAGGAGTGGGACTGCCTCAAAGGCACTTGAATATTCATTTCCTCTTGGTACTAACAAAGAACATTGGCAGCAACTTGAAAAGTTCAGGCTACGCTCTGAACATCCCGCTTCCACTCCACAAAACACTCGATTTTTTTTCATTGTATTGATGTTTTCTATTCAAAGCCTGTGCTTTTCCTACCTGCTGGGAATGCAGCTCGTGGATCATACTAATTTGCAGTGGAATGCAAGAGCTTCCTAGCAGTTTGACTCTAACAACATCTCGATACCAACACTACTGGGCAGTTATCATGCTGTTGTTTGCACAGTTGTAAATTACACAGCACTGTTCATTCCCATTGTAATGAGAGCAAATAGTCCAGGCTGTGGCTGCTGTATGTGTCTCATGGTTCTAAGGAGATGGGGCAACTTTCAAACCTAACGTAGGAAAGGCTTCAGAAAAACCTGCTGTATGAAAGGCTTTGTACAGAGCTGGGTGCTGTAGCAGAGACCCAGCAGAGGAGCAGAGGGGAAATCCAGTTATCTCAGGGGCCTGGCAAAGGCCAGAGTAGCTCTGCACCCATTGCTGCATTGGCAAGGATCGGTTTGTGACATATTCTTCCTTGCTGAAAAGGTGATAGGAAACAAGGTGGGATTTCTAATATCCTCAATTGTTGCTGGGGCTGAGCTATGAGGCCTGGAGCCAGATATGTAGGCTGAGAACTGGATTCAAGGAGAGGGACTAAGGGTAGAGAGGATGCGAGAAAGAGAGGAAAGTCTTTAGAAATATCCTCAAGTATTAGACAATCAAAAATGAGCATTTAATCATCTAGTAACGTGACTTTGTTTTCCCAGGGAGGCTGCATTTCAACACTTCATGTCTGCCCAGCCTGAGCTTTTGTGATGATCTGATTGCTTTTGATTACTTGAGATTGTCATGAAGGGCATGGGTATGAATAACTATAACTCGAGTGTTTTGTCAGTTGGGGGAGATGATCTGTTTAGCTATGCAGGCAGAAGAGCAGCTCAAGTTTTCACATAATCAGCTGCTCAGATGCAGACAGCCTTAAAATTGTGTGTGTGCCAGATAAAGGCAGCCTGTTCTGTGTGTTCGGCATTTGTGTAGGTTTTGCAGGCACGTGTGTGGAGGAAGAGCTAGCTGCTTAATGTGGGGGACAGGAGTTACTGAGTTTTCTATGCTTTATTATTATTATTATTATTTTTACCTTGGGGAAGAGAGAGGACCCTCCTCCATCTGTTAACCCTGACGTTGTCTGACAGATGAGAAGTTTCAGGCCTTGCTGTTGAGAAACGAGTGATTTCCAAGCAGCACGGGCTGCCATGCTATACACTTTTGTCTTGAAAACCAATTTCTTTCTTAGTTAAGAAGATAGTATTTCAAGAAAGAATTCCCAGCCCTGAGGAAACTCTCAGGGCTTTCCTCTGCTAGGAAAGTTCAGTGGCATGATGTAACCGTTGGTACCTTACTAATCATTAAGAAAATTATCATTTAAAAAAGTGATTTTTTGGTACCCACAGGCAATATCTTTATTGCTATTTCCGCTGTTTTTCTCTTGCTGCTGCCTTATTTCTCCATTAACGAGGATAGATTCAAAGGAGTTTATCCCAAGCTTTCAGCTGGTTTTACAGGGTGCTTGCATACAACAGTGGGCTGAACACTTTGGGCTGAACGTATTACCCTTCGGAATGAATAAGATGATAACGGTGTGTGTGCTTTATTGTCCTTATTGTGCTATTTCTGTTGTTTTCACTCTGAACGTCCTGCTACCGTGAAGGATACAGTGCAGTTTCTTTGGCTGCAATTAATACCTTTTTATCATTGTGACAGAAATGTACCCTAGAATGATTCTAACAAGATTTAAGCTCATTTTTATTGAAGTTTTTGTCTTCTCCACAATTCATGACTATGAAATGCACACGAACTGTAGGACCATGCATCTTCTGCACTTAGACAAAGACAGCTTGTGCCCTCTGCTCAGCCACCACTGTTTTAGACACAAGATGGATGATAGGAAGTGGGAGAAGGCACGGAAAATTTGGAACCCAGGAAATAAAACACATGTTCAAAGTAGTTTCTTTTCTCAACATACACTTGTATTAAGACATTTGCAGGGATTTCGACAGCCTGGGGTTCTTTGCACAGGAGAAGTCTGACTTATAACTAGATAAACATGTTACTACAAAAGGGAAAAGGCTGGGGGGATCCTGCTCTTTTCGTAAAGTCTTTCTGTGGCATCCGTAAATGGTATAAAAAAGAAATCTCCCCCAAACAATAAAAAACTGAATAAAGTCATGAACAGAAAAGACACAGGCCTGACCTTTCTTTTGAACTATTGAGCCACCATTACAACTACTCTGAGACCAGTCCTGATCATTTAGAGGGTTGTTCTGAAGAAAGGCAACCCCCTTTTTTCCCTCCTCTTTCTCTGGCAGAAGCAGGCTGTGTGAGCTTATAGTTTTATTTATTTTCATTAAATAGCTGCTACAGTGTGAGGAAACCCCTCAGAACAGGAGCGGTACCCCAGAGGCAGGAGGGCTGGTGGTTTCTGGGGTACAGCTTCAGGACAGGACAGTAATGGGGCACAGCAGCAGCCTGGGTGCCCCACCAGGAGCCTCTTGACGTGGGTGCCTGGCACCATTTGGCAGGGGTGTCTGGGTTTAATAAATTCTGAAAAAATAATAAAAATAATGAAGTCTGAAGTGTCAGCTTAGGTATTCTGGTTTGGGGTTTTGCTTTTTTTTTTTTTTTTTTAAATGTTCTTTCATGGGCATTAAAAAACTAGATGGCATTTTTGCAAACTGAGTAGCACTCGGTGTGGAAACACACTTGCTCATCAGTGAGGATTAACTCCTGCTGAGCTAGCATGCTTTTCCAGCCTCTCTGCATGCCCAAGCAGGGTGGGCAGCCATTAAGGGCAAGTCAGGTACGGACTGTATGCTTCCCCACAGCTCTGAACGTGTGGACAGCGCAGCTGTAACCTGCACCTTGTTGCTGGAGGCAGATCACTTAAGACCCCTTAAGGTCAGTGCAAACATGCTTCTGCAGGCTCAGTAATGTCAAAGAATGTCAGGGAAAGAAGTATTGCAGGGACTGAGGAACCGTCTTTTATTCCACCAGGTGATGAAGCTGAAAAGAGGCTAGCTTTGCCATTTCTGAATGTAACAGTTCTCAAATAGAAGACTATTGCAGCTTCTGCAACCCTGCTTGGGAAGTGCAGGAACCAATTTTAATCAACTGTTACACAATTTGGAAACTACTTTTTTTTTTTTTTTTTAATGATAGGCTTGTGAAACTTGTGAATGGGAAATGGCAAACTTTAATGCAGCCCCCACATATACTGCACAATCCCAATTACAAGTCTGTTTTTTCCTGTAAATCTTCTTTTTTTCCATTATCATTCAAGTATGCTGCATGATCATATAATTACATACAGATAGGTGCCAATTAGTAGCGATGCCACAGTAGACCCTTAAGTCAGTTTCTGACATGCATTTTTCCACTGTACACATTCATTATTGGCGTAATACTTCTCAGTAACACCTCCACTGTCTAAGTGACAGCAGTACAACTCACCAGTTTGATATTTCTGTTGTGTCTTTCCAGGAAAAACTGCTGGAAAAGGCAACCTATTATTTTAAAATCAGCATTGCTGAGTTATTGCCATGTGCATGTGAAGTTATAGCAGAAACTGGAATGAGCAACGCAGCTGAAGGCAGGTCCGTAGCAAACATCAAAAGCCAAGCAGTCACTCAAGAATCAGTTGTGGGGAGCACCAAAACAAAATACTTTGCGTGTTTGAATACCTGTTGGCATGTTTCCTGGCAAGAAGGTAAGAGCATTTTTATATTAATTATAAACTAATCATTTATTGCACCCTTAAGTGTATTTAAATATATCCTGTGAAGAGTGCAAACATGATGTCTAATGAGTAATGATGGGATTCAATGATATGCTAACACTGCTCTATAAAACTGAAATCTCAACAACAAAAATTATTCTCCAGTTCTCTAGTCCAAAATACTTACTACTTTTCTTCTACTTGAGGCTTCTGAAAATATGAGTATTCTTTACATAGGGTGCTGGAATGTCCTGGAACAGGTGTTTTTCCTCTAGTTAGGCGAATGAGGAGTTCTACAGGCAGCTGACAGAAGTTGCAAAATCTTCAGCGCTTGTTCTCGTGGGGGACTTCAACTTCCCTGACATATCCAGGAAGCACAACACAGCCCAGAGAAAGCAGTCTAGGAGGTTTCTGGAGAGCGTGGAAGATAGCTTCCTGACGCAGCTGATTAGTGAGCCTACCAGGGGTGGCACCCCGCTAGACCTTCTCTTCACAAACAGAGAAGGACTGGTGGAGGATGTGATTGTCGGGAGCTGTCTTGGGCAGAGTGACTATGAAATGGTGGAGTTCTCTATTCTTGGTGAGGCCAGGAAGGGAACCAGTAAAACCGCTGTATTGGACTTCTGGAGGGCTAACTTTGAGCTGCTCAGGACACTGGTTGGTAGAGTCCCTTGGGAGGCAGTTCTGAAGGGCAGAGGGGTCCAGGAAGGCTGGGCGCTCTTCAAGAGGGAAATCTTAATGGCGCAGGAGTGGTCTGTCCCCACGTGCCCAAAGATGAGCCAGCGGGGAAGAAGACCAGCCTGGCTCAACAGAGAATTGTGGCTTGAGCTTAGGAGAAAAAAGAGGGTTTATAATCTTTGGATAAGTGGGCAGGCCACTAGGGAGGACTATAAGGATGTTGTAAGGCTGTGCAGGGACAAAATTAGGAAGGCCAAAGCTCATCTGGAGCTCAATCTGGCTACTGCCGTTAAAGATAACAAAAAACATTTTTATAAATACATCAACACAAAAAGGAGGACTAAGGAGAATCTCCATCCCTTACTGGATGCGGGGGGAATCTTAGTTACAAGAGATGAGGAAAAGGCGGAGGTGCTTAACGCCTTCTTTGCCTCAGTCTTTAGCGGCAATACCGGTTGTTCTCTGGATACCCAGTACCCTGAGCTGGTGGAAGGGGATGGGGAGCAGGATGTGGCCCTCACTATCCACGAAGAACTGGTTGGTGACCTGCTACGGCACTTGGATGTGCACAAGTCGATGGGGCTGGATGGGATCCACCCGAGGGTACTGAGAGAACTGGCAGAGGAGCTGGCCAAGCCCCTATCCATCATTTATCAGCAGTCCTGGCTATTGGGGGAGGTCCCAGTTGACTGGTGGTTAGCAAACGTGACGCCCATCTACAAGAAGGGCCGGAGGGCAGACCCGGGGAACTACAGGCCTGTCAATTTGACTTCAGTACCAGGGAAGCTCATGGAGCAGATCCCTTGAGAGTCATCATGCAGCACTTGCAGGGCAAGCAGGCAATCAGGCCCAGTCAGCATGGGTTTATGAAAGGCAGGTCATGCTTGGCGAACCTGATCTCCTTCTATGACAAAGTGACGCTCTGGGTGGACGAGGGAAAGGCTGTGGATGTGGTCTACCTTGACTTCAGCAAGGCTTTTGACACCGTCTCCCACAGCATTCTCCTCAAGAAACTGGCTGCTCTTGGCTTGGACTGGCACACGCTTCGTTGGGTTAGAAACTGGCTGGATAGCCGGGCCCAAAGAGTTGTGGTAAATGGAGTCAAGTCCAGTTGGAGGCCGGTCACTAGTGGTGTCCCCCAGGGCTTGGTGCTGGGGCTGATCCTCTTTAATATCTTCATCAATGATCTGGATGAGGGCATTGAGTGCATCCTCAGTAAGTTTGCAGATGACACCAAGCTAGGTGCGTGTGTCGATCTGCTCGAGGGTAGGAAGGCTCTGCAGGAGGATCTGGATAGGCTGCACCGATGGGCTGAGGTCAACTGCATGAAGTTCAACAAGGCCAAGTGCCGGGTCCTGCACCTGGGGCACAATAACCCCAAGCAGAGCTACAGGCTGGGAGATGAGTGGTTGGAGAGCTGCCAGGCAGAGAAGGACCTGAGAGTGATGGTGGACAGTCGGCTGAATATGAGCCAGCAGTGTGCTCAGGTGGCCAAGAAGGCCAACGGCATCCTGGCTTGTATCAGAAACAGTGTGACCAGCAGGGCTAGGGAGGTGATCGTCCCCCTGTACTCGGCTCTGGTGAGGCCGCACCTCGAGTACTGTGTTCAGTTTTGAGCCCCTCGCTACAAGAAGGACATCGAGGTGCTTGAGCGGGTCCAGAGAAGGGCGACGAAGCTGGTGAGGGGCCTGGAGAACAAGTCCTACGAGGAGCGGCTGAGGGAGCTGGGCTTGTTCAGCCTGGAGAAGAGGAGGCTCAGGGGTGACCTTATTGCTCTTTACAGATACCTCAAAGGAGGCTGTAGCGAGGCGGGGGTTGGCCTGTTCTCCCACGTGCCTGGTAACAGGACGAGGGGGAATGGGCTTAAGTTGTGCCAGGGGAGTTTTAGGCTGGATGTTAGGAAGAACTTCTTTACTGAAAGGGTTGTGAGGCATTGGAACGGGCTGCCCAGGGAAGTGGTGGAGTCACCATCCCTGGAGGTCTTTAAAAGACGTTTAGATGTAGAGCTTAGGGATATGGTTTAGTGGGGACTGTTAGTGTTAAGTCAGAGGTTGGACTCGATGATCTTGAGGTCTCTTCCAACCTAGAAATTCTGTGATTCTGTGATTCTGTTATTTAGTAATGGTTGCCAGAGCAGTAGTAAACCTCAATCTGTTTGACATCAGTCATTCCTTTATAGGGCTGAGAATATTCAGGGGCAGAATTGTGTAAGATGTTTGTCAGAGATGTGCCATCCCAACTTCCGAGTCAGCCTCATTTCAGTAGGCACAGGTTGTTGTCAGGAATACGTATAGAGGTATAACAGTTAGTTATAAAAGACCATGTGTTCTCAGGCTTTATTTGTACAGAAAAAGGGTAAATAAACACTTCAGTGTGCTGGATGCAGGATGGATACATTTTATGCAAGAGTTCCCAGAATTGTGCTTCTGACATGGGTTGTGTGATTTTTCTTCCTAAGGCTGTTGACATTTTATTTTGTGGATGATCAGGTAATTTGACTCAAGGTAGAAAAAAATGATAGTTCTAGTAAAAGGCTTGAGGATGTTGTTGTGAGGAGGGTGCATTCAAAGAAACAATAATTACACTTCTTTTTGAATGAACATGTGTGAACAAAATCATTCCTTTCATAAGAGTTTCTAGTAGCAGAAGCACACAGGTTGTGTCAAAGTAAATGGATGGTCACGTATGTCATTTACACATTCTAAATGCTTCTCTGAGGTGAGTAAAGGTACAGAACAGCTTCTATTGGATACATTGCAGCAGATCCACAGAAACACCAAGGATAACCCTTGTAAAATTAGATTAAAAGCAGCTTGCTTTGAATACAGGATTGGTCTGATGCCCCTTCCAACCTTAATTATCCTATAATTCATATTTATCTTATGTGATTCTTATGTGCAATCACATTATATCTAAAACAGCCCTGTCACTCACCCAGGTGTGTCTGGATGCCTCTTTACTCCATCCTGCAGTTCTGCTATGACATAGTTTCTGAAGCACTTGGGTAGGAAATAAGGGAACGTGAGTATAATGAGAGAGCTTCTGTCATTTCCCTGAGTATGGTAAGAAACCAAGAGTTCACATTGTAGTGCCTAGCATTGTAACCTAGTACATGCCTGAGTTTCCTTTATATCAGATGTTCTGCAAAGTAATGGTGCTTGTGTAATGTAGGAAGGTGGTTTTTTTCTTCTCAGATTGCATGTTCACTTGTGTCATATTGAGCCATAGCACCCTGCTCAGACAAAATGTACTATTGTGAGCCTTGGTTCGTGTGCCTGCAGCTTAGCTCCTTGTTGTGCAAACAGAAGAATGGAGAACCTGCAGGCAAACTTTGCTACATGTTAATGTAAGAACTGTGCTGAAATGTAGTAACAAAACACTTTGGAGTTCACAGATCTTTCCTAACACATCTAGCAACCCAGTCAAACATGATATTCCCTAGGGGGAGAGAATATGTTGATGAATATGGCCTTCAAACCTGTGTAAGACATCCTCACTACTGGAGTGAATGCTAATTCTGCTTCAACCACAGCTGAGTGGTACTTCACTAGGTGACGGAGCACACTGATGTCTTAGCTCCTGAATCCATGTATGACCTCTGGGGAAACGAGCAGATTGCTTCACTTTTTTCTGTGCCTATCCCATTCTGTTTAGCTGGGATGTGCTTGGGGCTTTTGCTGCAAATATCCTCAGGACAGTCAGTACAGGATGCTGTAGGATAAGTCTTATGTTGATACCGGGATAAGCTGTTGTGGACCCATTTATTCTGTTCCTCGCAAGCTGCAGGTTGCAGTGGATAGTTTATTTCTGGCACCTGCTCCAGCTCCTTTACCTCAGTGCTGTGTTGACGTCTGCAGCATTTTCATTGCTTTTGATGACATACCAGAGAGGAGCCCTGGTTTCAGCTGGAGACCACATAAGACAGATCAGAGTTGCTAAGCAAAAGAGGTATAGCTTCAATTTAAGAGGAATAATAAGTAATTAAAAAATACCACTTAGAAAATGGTCAAATGCAGATTGCCAGTGCTTTCTCCACTGGCTTCTCAGGAAAGAAAGCTTTCCTCCTTCTGTTCCAGTCACCCAACTTAACATCGGGTAGAGTCAATGTTAGGGTATGTGCGTGGCAGCTCTGTCATTGCACTGGATCTGTTACTTCACTGGGGAGTTTCCTGGTGGGTGGTTTCATGCTACATGAGCAAACTTCCAGTGACTTCAATAAGAAATCACCAAACTGTTTATTTTCTGTGGCTTTGCTCTCATTACTCAGATTAGAATATATGGCTTCATAGAAACACATGTTCTTTGTTCCTTCCTAGTCATAAGTGTTCCCGTTTGTTAAAAAAAATTCCCACAGCGCAAATCAGAGGCGGGGGGCTCTAATTTTGATTGACATGTGGGAAAGGATGAGGGGAACAGAGCAGGCGCCAAACAAAAAGAGAGCACGAGGAAAGTATTGGTCTCTTAATGAGCTGGGTAGTACTGAAGCAGATGAGGGACTGTGTGGATAAAGCTGAATAATTTACTTTACAGCCGTAGATAGGATGAAGCATGTAAAACAAACAAACAGACAAACAAAAAAACTAATCTGCCTTGAGTCCCTCTAGGTTAAACTTTGTGCTGCAAAGCAGCAGGCCTAGACTGGCATAAATTGGTGGGAGGTGGGATGTATCCCTGGTCTGAAGGGCTTTCTGTCTGAACTGTGTGCGCTGCCCTGCCTGCATCTCTTGGGAGTAAACTTAGTTATCAAATATCTGGTGTAATTACTTCCTGCAAGAGGAGAAGCTCTGGTCCCCGCAGGCTTAGCGCATCTGGTGAGGTAAGGCTGGATTTCCAGCCCAGCATTTTCCCCCTGGGACTAGGCACGGCCATTAGTTGTCTCTCTCTGCACCTTCCGGCAGTCTTATGCCAAGTGCTGATGGTGTGCCTGCCTCTTCAGTTGTAGCAGCTGCTGAAACTCGTACTGGATGGGGGGCAAGTTCTGAAAGCCAAAGACAGCTCTGGATGGAATGGTTCCACTCAGTCTTTTACTCGAGTGATTTTTGTGATTAATTCTTTAAGCAAATGTATTCGTTATCCTCCTCCAAGAGATTCAAAGGAAACCCTACTTGAGTTATGACACTTAGTTCTCAAAAAAAAAAAAAGCATGACTTGTAGGGTTTTAACATACTTTCTAAAGTAGCTCCATGAGTCTTAAGTCTATAAATACTACATTTTTCTTTGCTGAACATCTCACCTTTCTAACAGCTTTGCTGAAACTCGAGTTTTCTCCAGTTCTGCTCTAAATTCTCACACACAGATCAAGATCACTCTACAATTCTTAAAGCACCCAGGCACCTCAGCTGCTTTCCCATCCAAAAAAAGCCCTCAGCAAAACAACCAACCAGGCAGGATGGCTGTCTGCTGACCACAGTTTTTATTCAGCCCTGAAGGTTTTATCTGTTCTTACATATACACAACCAAAATAGAAGTAGGCACTTGAGGGGATTTTGCTCTCACTTGCCTATGTGCATATCTCATGCCTTAGTGGCTCTTTATGACACCCTAGTAATATAACGGGCCTTCAAACATTACTACTTCATTTTGATGCATTACCATAAAATAAATGGCTTGAGTGTAAAGAAGTATCAATTTTGTTGTGATTTTAGTGTGAATCAAGTCAGCGTAAACACACGCTAATCTTGTTCTGCTCTTCACATTCCTGTAGTCATTAAGAATGGATTTCTTGTTTCCTAAATGGATTCTTGCAGCCTCCACCCTAGGAGCCCAGATCCTGGGGTGCTGTGCAATTTGCTACAACACTGGGCCCGTGCAATTTTCAGGGGAGATGCATTTTCTAGCAGAGAGGGATGGAAAGTAGTGGGATCAAATTTTGGAAGCTTCTTGTGGTGAGTGAAATATTTTTCCACTTAAAAATCTTGCTCAAGAGGTTGTTGTTTCTGGATCATTGTCTCCCTGAAAAATCAATGTAAGTTTTGTTTCCTTTCTAACGCCCTTGGAGCAGTGTTAGGAATTCTGCCTGTGTTGCTACAAGAGGAATGAATAAGCTGGTCATCTTTTCTGTGTTTTGATGTCATCACTGCTGCTCAAAAGTTGATTGATTCAGAGACAGGAGGAGACTCATTTGTACACAAGTGCTCTGGCTTGATAACGATTTTGGTGCGAAGTTCTTGCTTGGAAAAAAAAAGGCAGAAGGTCAGTTTTAGGTTGCCTATTTGAGCCATGATTTCTGGGCCAGTTTACCTGCTGCTTCGGAGCAGCAGAATAAAAGACAGTGGTAGAAGCTGATCTGTGTAGAAGGTGGACACCATATTTTCATTTTGGCATTTGATTTTACAGCTTTGACAATAAAACACCATTTCATTATCACTTAACATACAGAGGACCCTGTGGGTCTATTTTTAATACTGAAACCATGTGTTTCTGTCACAGTAAAAGCTGTCCTTTATATTTTAAGCAAGAAATAATATTCCTAGAAATTGCATTTTAAATGATAAAGAACTGCAAGCAGATTGAGAAGCGTTCTCTAAATCTTTCAACTTCTATGCAACAGAGTAAAGATATAAAAGAACGCAAAAAATAAAAATAAAAAAATTGTGATCTCTCACCCTCTGGCACAGTATTCTCTGTGGTGTAAGCTTCCACAGAGCAGCTTATTTTCTTCCACTTGATAGTGAAAGCAAAGGGTTGGTTTTAATTAATTGCATGGAAGGCTGAAAAGCAAGCTCAGAGCTACTAATACACTTCTCCTGACAATAGATGAAAATGCATTTTCAAACTTGAGAAAATAGAGTTTGCCAGGTTTGATCCGAACAGCTCTCCTGGGCCAGTACCCTGCCTCCGAAATGCCTGGCTTCCTAGCCAGGAGTAAGAACCTTCTCCACCTTATGCTTTGTCTTGGGTGGTTTTACTTCTTCCTAGAGCCTGACATAAGCAGTAAGCTGTATTTCCATTCCAGGACTTCTTTCTGTTCTTTGTGTTTAATACCCATAGATTTCACTTCCTTCATTATTACCATTCTGAAGATTAGAGTTAGAATGAGATTTGCTCCTCCTTTAAATCCCCTGTGTAATTCCTCATCTTCAGTGACGTACTGAGGCAGGGAGGGAGTCCCCTGTTATAACTAACCACTGTGAGAACAGACATTAGTGTTTTGCCTTTGGGGAGGGTTCATGTGAGCTGCAGACCTTGTCTGTACCACATTTTTTCTCTTTCCCATATTGATAAACAACTTCTAAACAGGTGAGGAGGATAAACCCACTATCAAAGAACTAGTGTGTGTTTGCCTGTCTGCTCTCTGAACGTCTGTTTGGTGGGGAAACGGGGAAGCCAGGCTGAATGCATGAATATCAGGCAGCTAAAAATCCATTTTACATGAGCACATTCTGTCTTGTTGGCTCTCTAGGTGCCCAGAGTCTGTGTTTATGCCTGCACGTACCTCATCTTGCAGAAGAGAAGATAGGCAAGGGTTGGGAATGCTGTTACAACCACTTGAATGCCCTGCTCCGCTGTGTCTGACATTTGCCTGCCAGGACGGTGTTAAGAATTAGAGGGGTCAGAGAAAAATTGAGGGATTAAATCAGCAAAAGAATGCTTCAGACTGGCTTGCAAAATGTGGGATGATGAAAGAAACCTGCTGAGGTTTATTTCTGTTTGGATAAAAGGTGTTACCACCACAAACCGGCTAAAGGTTAAAAGCTGGATTACAAACAGAGAAACATTGGTATCAGACAGCTATCAGCAGTCAAACATACCTTTCTGTGTCTGTACCAAGTGCTCCTGTGCATGGTTAGAAATGACCTTTATTTTCAAGGAAAATAGCGATAATGTTACTTAAAAGTAAGTGCTGATACTAAGAATCCTTCCACTTCTCTGACAGTTGCCTCAAAACACCTCTAGTCATATCTTGTATGAATTAGCCTCTAAGTATCTAAATTTGCAAAAATGGATCTAAGATTGTGCAAGGCTAAGATACAGACCAGTTCGCAACTGTGTCTATTCATTTAAAATGTCATTGTTTAAGCAATAAGCACTTCCATCCTGTCTTCTATATGCTTTATAAGATAGTGTCTTTCACTTTGTGTTCACATTGGGGGAATCATTATCATTGTCATCACAACAGTGATACCCTCTTTGTGTGAGAACAACAGCTGGCCACAATGTTTCATGAGTATTGTGCAGCTTAAAAAAAGCAAAAGTACAAAACAATGATTTCTATAGACCTTCCCCGTGCTTTTTATCATCTTTCAGAGGGCATTTCTATACACTCCTTCAACATTTTCAATCCTTTATTTTGAAGAAAGGAAATCAGTGACATTCTCTCAGTTACGGATGTGCTGAGCTGACTTTAGCCAGAAAACTGGTGCATCAGAGCTACACCAGGGGGGCTGTGCAAATCCTTCTCAGCAGCATCATTCTTCCCCAAAAATCAAAACAATCCTCCTGATTTTGGAGACATCACTTCTATACTCCCTGATATTAAACACACAAATTTACTGCAGTGCTTTGACTACTGACTGTCCTCTTCACTTGGAGTTTTATCACCAGTCAGGGGAAAGATGCTAGCTCAGTAATTAATCCACTTTGCTATGATACTTCGCCACTTTGTGGAGAAAATGTTACTGTTTAGACTAAATGGATTTTTACTTAGACTAGAGTTTTCAAGAAGAAGCCAGTGCAGCTTCCCCAGGACCCACAGTGCTCTAGAGTCGGCAGGAAGTTTGCTCTGACATAAATCCTGTTCTAATTTTCTTCAACCCAGCACTTTGCTTGGTATGTTTCTCTGGCTTTGGGTGGTTTGAAATCACCTTGTTTTTTCCTTCTTCAAGTCTTTGCATGAGCCAGATGTCAGTTCTGGGAGGCTGCCCTAGTCACATTGTGCTCATCTCGAATGCCATGTTCTTCTCAGTCAGTGCTATGCTGGAATATAGCCACAAAAAAATGGGACGAGCATAAATATTCTCTGAAAAACAAACAAACAAACAAACAGAACCACAGAAGTATAGATATTTTGATCCTGATTTCTGTCTATGGTAATGTTTGGGGGGTTTCTTTTGAAAAAATGTTTTAAAAGTTCACGATCTAGCACTGAAACTTCCACAGCTGTTTAAGGAACTGCTTTAATGTCTTGTAGGGGAGAATCAGAATCCTTTTGGGACTGTAAGGTATAACACTGGAACCTCATTCTCTAGAAGACGGCAGGAGACTCGTGTTGGCTTTCTGTAGTACCTTGAGATGGGGCAGTGACTGACATCAGATGGCTGCAGTCCTGTTGTCTATGCACCACTGATTTGACCTGCTCTGCATGTTAGGATCTTGATGTTACAAGCTAATGAATGACCTAGGGGAAGGAAAAAAAGGCAGCAGAATAATGAAAGAAAGCAAGCTGAAAAGAATAAGTGCTTCAGACAACATTTTATAGTGCAAAACGTTGTAAAAAATTGATGGCCTTTCTTGGGAGAAATGGGTAAGCAACAATTGCAAGTGTTGTTTAAAGTTCATGGTCAATAAATTCAAGAGATTATTTTATTGGAAGAAATAATTTCAGCTGTTTAGGCACCTTACTGGGGGTTACAGTATAAAAATACTTGCAGTATGCACATGCACACACACACACGTGTGTGTATGTGTGTATATATATATATGTGTGTGTGCGTGTATGTAAACTGGAAAGGTCTGCCAGGTAAACAGCAGCCACTGAAGAGCAACAAAAATAAGAGGATGCGTGAAGAATGGGAGAAAGATACCAGAGATCTAATGAACTAAAAGTAAAGTGTTTGGTATAATTATATGAAGAATGCTTGTTTTTCCTCTTGTAATTATGCTTGAATAATGAGGGCTGCAGTGTCTGCAATGAAATTGGGGAGTAAATAACAGCTACTTTCAAGAAGGGACATGATTTAAAGCATAGTATTTGATTTAAATAGTCTCTTTCTGAATTGAGGCACCAGGGAAATAAACCACAATCTGTTCAAGTCAGAGGGACCAGATCTCTTGTTAGTGTATGCACCAGTATCCTTGCAATTAATTTCAAGGCAGCTGTTTTGATTTATTCCAGCTATGTTGTGCAACAGTCACGGAGGCTCTGGGCTGCCTCACTTGGGTGGAATTGCCATTCATGTCTGGGCTTCAGTAAATCATCATCAGGCATCCCAAATGAGGGGATGGGATTTGCTGTGTAGCCTTTGGATGGGAGGCTGTGGGGAGGGGAGAGGGGCCACGCAGTCAGGAAGGGATGCGTTTCTCCTTTTCCTCCCTCTTCTTTGAGTCAAAATGTTCCTCCACCATCACCAAGAGCAGGCTAGCTGAAGAGCAGTTACTGAGTAAGGTTCGGACAGCCCAGGGACTGCTGTACTGAGCAGTCAGTCTGGAAATTGCTGTGAGGTTGGTTTAATTACATAAAGATGCTGCTCTGATATACTACGGTTGTTAGAGACCCAATATTCCCAGAAAAGAGGTAGGTCTTTAAAATCAAATGACTGAAAACAGCAATTCAATTAAAGTTTTAGCACTTCTGGGAAGGGTTTTATGATGTAGCCAGAAACACTGGGTTTACTTCATCCTGATTCTTTGCCACCAAGCGCTGCCATGTGGGGGCTGATGTGTGCTCAGTGCCCACCTGCAGTCCACACCAGGCAAGTTTCATGCTCCCTACATGGGTCCCAGCTGTGTCCCAGAGGCCGCACCAGTGGGGGAAAGTGGCACTCATCCTGCTGGTCTCTTGGGTGCTGCTTGGCAGGCCTTGCCTAGCCTCCTTTTCTCACCTACACCTCATGTGTGGTGGGTGAAAGCGGTTCCCCTAGCCTTATCCACCTGTCAATTGGACGTCCAACCCCAAGCAGGCTGTCCTAGGCTGCACATTGCAGCCAGAAGTTTCCATCACCCTGTAGCAGTCCCGGTCAGACAGAGAAGATGGGAGCACCTCCATGAGCTGGCTGCCCCCAGGAAGGCAGGCTGCTGGTCTGGTGAAGAGGTCCAGCCTCAGCCAGCAGCACGCTGAGCTGCACGTGTCCAGGTATCTCCCTGGCACAGTCACTTGGGCTCTTTTCTCTCTGTGACGGTAAGGTACATAGGAAATAGGTCTGCTGGAAGCTTAAATGCTATATTTAATGCTTAACAGGAACAAGGTAAGGTTTTTTCCTTCAGAAGTGTTTGAATGGTATTTACCTCTTCTTCATTTCGAAGGAGGGTGTCATTTCTCCTAGGAACTCTGAAGGCTGAAATGAGCTATTTTAAAGCTAAAACATTTTTCATCTTCAATCTACTTATCAAGTACTACTCAAATATAAGAAGGGGAAGGAGCGACATGCTGACAGTGAAAAACCTCCACCTTTCAAACCCCATGATCTGCTTAGTACCCAAAAGCTCCTCTGTCATTTTGCAGCAGCACACACCACTGCTTTATGAGCAAACATTACAATATATATATTTTTAAATTACCACCTCTTCTCCAGCAGAACAGGAAAGCTTTTAGCCACTGTCACTGAGGCTGAAGGCAAAATCAATACCTACAATTCTTTGGCAAGGTGCAGCTTCCTCCACTTTGCTTTCTAGTAAATCAGAACCTTCCGGCCATTTTCCTTTGCCAGGTCAGGATTTTAACGTTTTCTCTCTTATGCAAGAAAATACACTTAGCTTTACTGCAGGTTAGGACAAAATAATGAGATTTACTGGTTAGATCCAGCCTTGCCATGGGTGTTTATGCTAGCAGTTGTGTCAGACTAGAGGTTTTCTATCTGACTGTGCTGGGAATTACAGCAGTTGAAAAGGTGTGTGTAGAAGCAGAGCTGTCTGTCTAGGCACCCCCTCCTCCCCTCAACATTTGCTCCTTTGGTGTTTCTCTGACAGCCCTTTTGTGGCATTGAACTTTTGCAAGAATGCCGGCCAGGAAGCTTGTCATCAAATGGGCTTTCAGTGTAGAAATGTTTGTAGCTAGATTTATCTAGATCCCAGATGACAAGGATTAAAAAGGGGGAATAAAAGGGATTTTTGGAGGCTGGAATGTGTGGATTGTTTGCTGGAATTTCTTGTTTGATAAATTAATATGACTGCAATAGTGACTTAAGATGACTTAAGAATAATGACTTCAGAATAATACACGAAATTTCATCCTAATGAAATTTGAAGGCAGCTTAACAGAAGTGATCAGTGCTGCAAATTAAAAACAAAAAAAATGAGGCTTATGAACCAGTGATTCCTAAGGCAACAAAATGAATATGTAAAATCTATAAAACACTGACTGTGCTTAAGGGCTCTCTGCTGCCTTGCTGGGCTCCTCGGGGTGGTGTTCTGGCCTCTGCAATCCTCCCGCTGTCAACACTGCTAAGATGTACAAACAAAACTGCATTGGTTTAACAGCAAAGACTGCTGAGCATTTTTGTATTTCTGTATTTCATCTTTTTATTTTTTTGTATTCCAGCAGGGCTAGCAAGCATTAATTGGGTCCAATTTAACTTGAGTACAGTCTGGCAGACCAGTGGCTGCATGTCGATACAGAACTCTCAAAATAAGGGACATGGGTTGCATGTGTGCCTGCATAGTGTCCTCATCTCCCTTCACCAAAGAAATGCCATTGACATGCTCTTTCCACTGATCTTCCCATGCAACAAAAAACTCTGAGCATTGCTGAGGGAAGCAAGTCATCTGAGAATGCAAAAATAATATAGTGTGTTCTGTGGATTTGCGTTTCATCCCTATTGGAAAACCACTAGCTTTGCTTTTTCTGAATGCATTTAAAATCTTTTTTTTTTTTTTTTTTTATTATAAGCATATTGAGGAGCGTTTACTTATGAGAAATGTAATGTGTTTTTGTGGTTTTCTATTTTGACACCCGTCAAAATATTGAGAGTATTGATATTATTCACTTACCCAGCCCCAGCAGGAGATATGCTAGTCCTGCTTCATACCTAGTTGTGGAGGTTCAGGGGAAGAATAACATAAATATTTATTTACTGAATAGCTATAGTATCCTCTATTCAGCATGAGCTGACCTTGATTTCTAAAATTATGTTTTAAAGAGATACATTTATCTGTTGTTGGTGTCAGTGCTTTAAGTACTTCTTCATCACGATAGCACCAGGGAGATGGTACTTTTGGCTTCTGTCAGTGAACAGTTTAGCACTTTCGGTGAGCATGTGAAATCATAAATGGCCTCTAGAGAGGCTACTTCTGTTCTTTAATTCTCTGATTACTCATTAGCCTTTGCATGGATGGAGCAGGCCCTAATGTCCCAGAAGGCAGGAGCACCGT